GGAAATGATTGGGGAGTTTTTGTTATGAAAGTTACACTTGGGGACCTCCCACTGTGAGAATATTTTAATTTGCACTTTCTACCCTGACAAAATGATTTTAGTACTGCAATGGATTTTATGAGTGCACAAAATATATATTAATGATGACAATGAAATGAGAAACTCTGGTCTGGTAGATGCACCTCCAGGAAGCCTTACATTAAGGAAGGACAGAATCTGAGTTTTAGTAAGAAAAAAATCCCAACATGTTAAGAAACGTGACTGTAATTCTATGACTAGCAAATAGTTCAAAAATGAGCCCTTGTTGGAAGAGTAAACATGAAAGGCATATTTTGTCTTTTTAATCCATTACAGAGACAGACACATCTTCTAAAGAACAAAATGCAAGTCTTTCTAAACTATGGAATCTTCACTGGAGAAAAAACACATGATCTGAACCACACCAAGCCTGGGAACGTAACAACCAACTTGCTGGGAGTGCACCTTTGCCCAAATGATTCTTAATGATCCAAAGAGTCTGTCAAAAAGAAAAAGAAAAAGAAGCTCTTCCAGTTTATTTTCTTATTTAAATAAATAAATAAAATAAAAGATCCAGGGTTTTTCTGCCATTGTGAAAAACATCAGCATTCACTGAGCACAAACACAAGACATTTTTCTTCAGTAAAAACTTAAATACAGTCAGCGTACAAACAGATGGATAGTTGACAGAAGCTGCTTGCTTTTTTTCTCCCATGCTTTTCTGGTTGGTAAGACTTTAATTTCCTTACAATGTTTCTGATTCAGCTTCCAGTGCAGAGAATGGTTTCCATTTTTATTTTGTCAAACTTAGGTAATTACAGCTTTCTCTGTGGACGTGGGGAAGGACCTGGTAGTCTTTACAACCACATTATAAATGATGGATGCACATGCTGCTGATATTCCAACTAGATGAACACAGGCTGCTAAACTTCACATTAAAAGACATTTTTACCCTTATCTTACAGCCATGAACTGGGAGAGATGATCCATCACCACAAACATCTTCTGCATAGCCCAGGTCACAGCCATCACCTTCTTTCAGTGCATCAAGATACTGGTGTCCTTGTGAGCTGCAGCATCTCCTCACCTTTTGGTCCATGCAGGCTCTGTAGACTGTTTGCCTCTGTTGTGGAATGCTGCCTCTGAGGCCACTACACACTTCCAACACAGTTATCTGGCTTGGGCTTCTGCTCCATGCAGATGGGCACCATGATTTGATATCCCAGGTGAGAAGGATATTGCTCTTTTCAATTTCTATGTAGGTACAATGTGATTCTTAGTACAAAGTCAAAGAACAATCTTGCCAGTTTTCCAAATCCTTGGGGAATGCAGAAAGGAGAGCATGACTGACAAAAGTCACCTCTGATGAGAGACGAACTGTCACAAAATTGTTTCTCTTCCTAGCATGCATCTCAGTTTGCTAGCTTGCTTCATCAGTAGCTCCCAAGTGGTAAAAGACCGTATAGGATTACACAAAAAAAGTTACGTAAAGAGCCTTGCTAGGAAGGAAAAAGAGTATTTGGCAGCAGTCTCCCACATCGTAGTGCTCCAAGAACATCAGCTCTGTCACTAAATGGTCTGCAGGAATCACAGCAGCTTCCAAAAATCCAGCATTTCCCTGGAAGCGATCAGGTCTTCCTTCTTCCATCATCAGCTGACAGGTTTTGAGCCAGCATAAATTACTAGTAACACTAGTATTACTGGTATGGTCATTGCATCATCTAGATGGGAAAAGGCTTCAGGATAATCAAATTTGAGCACCAAGCTGACCTTCTTAAACCATCGCTAAACCATGCCCATTACTGGGAGCAGTAGTAGCAGTGATAGCGGCAATACTACTACTAATGCTTGCTCTGTCAGTGCTCCTCATAGGAGGCTTTGAAGACCAGTTTTCCAGCAGCGCTGTGCCAGTCGCACACACAGCAGGCAGCAGCAAAGCACATCTGTTTCAAAGAACGTGCTGTCTGCAGCAGGCACTCCCATGCTCATGTACACAAAGGCACCAGCAGAATTGCTGTAGGACACTGTGGGGTGGGAGATCTGTTCCTACCGTGGCCAAGGACAGAGCTGTGCTGCCTGTGCTGTAGCAGTAAGCCACATGCAGCCTGCATCCTGCTGCTCTGTACATGCAGCACCACACGGCTACACTCATTCACCAGCACAACCATCAGCCCTTCTGCTCCCTGGGAAGCCAGCACTGCTTCAAGCTGTGTGAAATCCACAACCAGACCCCTTGTTTTTGGTTCCTTTGCCTGCCCAGCCACATCACCAGACTCTCTGTTTTACCAAACGTTACAGACAGGAGTGAAGTCTTCGGGTACTTTGGGAACGTCCTCCTGCCTGCTGCCCCACCTCATAATGTGACCCCCCACTTCGAGTGCAGCCCTTTGAGTTATCCTTCATTTGTTTGTTGGTGTGTTCCCTTAGATCTGCAGATCGCTTTGATTATTTGCACATCTGGAAGTTGTCACACGCTTTTTCTGACCGTGACCATCTGAAATATTATCCGGCAGGACTTGAGGGAAACACAGTAAAGAAACAAAAACATCCTACTCATAACAACATGTGGCAGAAATTACTAAGTGACACCATCTCAAAGGGGAGTGCCATATATCCAAGCAAAGATAAGCTTAACTCCATTCCCTAAAGCTTTACAATTGCTTTACGTAGCACCTGGTCCAGACATAAAAGATATTACATATAAGTACTTATTTTTCATTAAGCATCATATAATGAAAGTTATCTGCCTGTTATAAGGGCTGGGGTGAAACAAAGCCATTCCTTCCATCCTGTAAGTTTCAGAGGGGAAGACCATCTTCCCACTGCGTGATTTTCCATAGAAAAGCCTCCCTGATAAACAGTTCAGAAGACTCCGGGGTGTACAGCCCGATGATCCCACACAGCCCCCGGGGTAAAGCTACAATTCTGCGTGCAAAAAAAACAACGTTGGATGGACACGGCTGAAGTAACAGAGGCTGTTTTTCAGCAATCCCAACACACGGACAGCATGGGGAAGAGGGCAAAGGCAGCCTGATGTCGGTGCCCGATAAACCCATGTATTCGCACACAACGTATCAGCACACGCCTTATCCCGAGGCCCCGCTCCTGCCCCGCGGCTCCGGGTGGGGGCGCCGTCCCACGCCACAGCGCCACCGCGCGGTGAGCGCCACCGCCTGCAGGGCCGCGTGCCCCCGCGAGGTGTCAGCAGCCGCCCAGGCCGGGCTGGAGAGCGACAGGGCCGCTCTGGCAGGGCCGTAGCGAGAGCTCGGTGAAATGAAAGGGGCTTTCTGTGTCTTCTTTCCGTCAGCAGCAGTTCTCAGCGAGGCTTAACCAGAAGGAAAATCCAAACGGAAAGAAAGGGGAAAAGATCACTTCAGAACAATTTGGGAAGGGGAGGAAGTAAATAACAACGAAAGAATCAAGCAAACAAGCAAACCAAAAACAAACAAGCCCCTGTTTCCTCCCCCCTTCCACCCCCCCCCAAAAAAAGTCAAACACCCCCACGCTTTTACAGCACCAAACTGTTTGCTTTGCTATGGTAAAGAAAATTGTTTTGACTGACGCTGCGTCCTTTGGTTTTGATTTTATGCTCTATTTAGATTTCTTAGATGACAGACTGTAATGGATACAAAAAATGTTCCATCCAATGCACATAAAAAATTTGTATTTTAAACCATTACACAAATCCAAGTGAGTGCTACTGCTCTGATTATACTTTTATCCTGAGCAGAATTAAAACCTTGGCTGTATTGTGGCAGATGGGTGCTGATACACTGACAGCGCTGGTGCTGCCATGTCAGTACCAATAAACAAAGAGCTGCAGAGCCCAGGGGAAAGCTGCTTCAAGAAGCCAGCACTGAATGGCACTGAGGACAGATGCTGAGTGCTGCAGGCAGTGTTTCTCTGACTGAGTAGGAACTTGCAGGCAGACACAGAACCGCAGTGCCTCAGGAAGGGGGGGGCACAGAGCTCCATCTTGGCACAGGTGCTGTCAGGGCTAAGAAAGGGACACAATAGCAACTTTATAAGTCATTGCCACATCAGGAACTTAGCCATTTTTCTTCTTCCTTCTTTTCTTTTACACAATGCAAACTTTCTTTAGATGAAAAGTAAATATGGTGGGCTCAGCACGGTTTGGAGAACACACAGATCAAGCTCCTCTGGTGCCTGACCTCAGCCTTTTATTTCTCTGTGTTGAGCAATATCAGCAAGTGTGTGCATTCCACATGTCCCTCTCTTCTGCTGCTTCCCCTAGAGACTTACTGGGACACACAGAGCAGGGGCTGCAGCCACCCAGAGCCACTTGCAGGGGGCAGAAGTTGTTGGCTGTAACAATGGTACCAGGGCCACTACTGCAGAGGTTATTTCTGTGCTCTGTTTATTCCTCCTTTCTTGTTCTATTCGTTCCTCTGGGTCTCTTGGCCTTCAAACCTTTGTTTTTTCTTTTCTAGGGTTCATGAAAAGATATAGAGTGATCAAAGTTGCTCTGCCCCATCTGTGTCATTGGTGGAAAGAGACTTCAAAAGCTTCCAAGAGACATGTGCACACCCCACACAGGAGGTGGGATGGGCAGGAGGGAGAGGAATCATCAAAAACATCTTTCAGAAGTAAAAAAAAAACAAACCACTTATTGTACCACATTGGCAACATAGGTACCCACTGAGCAAAAGTTGATTGCACTTTAAGTCAGCCCTGGCAGGTTTCACATCTCCAAGTGCAGTGGAGATCTGCTGAGAGGATGGGGCAGGAGGAGACAGTGGAAGATGCCACCAGAGGCACTGGAAGATCAGCAGATACTCAGCTCTCCTTGTAGACAGGAACCCCAAGGTGCAGTTTCAATGTGGAAGTGAGATGAAAGTAGGTAGTAGGGGTTAATTAGTTTGTCATTAGTTCCAGTCTGATCTGACCAACAGATATTTTAGAAATAATCAGAAAAAAAAAAAATCAGAACTTTAAAAAATTTATATATATATATTTTTTCTCCAAGTAAGATGCCTAAGTGTCAATAGTAGACAAATACAAAAAAAAACAAAAACAAAAACAAAACAAAAAAAAAACAAAAAAAAAAACGTATCAGTCTGTATGACAGGAATTGCGCTGTGAAGAAGCTCTTTAGAACAAAATGAAAGTCTGACAGCATGCGTTCCCATTACAAAAGGCAAAAAAATATAAACATAGAAATCAAAATCCCTCCTGCCCACACATGCACTAAGTAGGAGCACAACTGCAGTGACTGCCCCAGGTCTGGGTTTTGGAACAGGAAAGGATGAGGAAAAAAAATGAGAAGAGAGTCAAGAGAGGAGATCTAGCCAGAGACCTAGCAATGCCAGTTAAGTGATTCAGGTGGGGTGGAAAAAGAAAAGGACCAACCTTAACAATTACAAATGCATCCCTAAAACTGTCTTGCTAGAAACCAGTTTCATCATTAAGTAAACATTAACTGTCTAATTATTTTCACTGTATATTCAACAGTTGACTGATAGTGTCACCTTTTAAAACACCAGAACATTGTTTTGGAAGAAAAGGGTATCTATTGATGAAACTAGAGACTTACATTCCTTCCTTCAAAAAGCCACTTGTACAACATGGGCTTCCATACACCAGCTCATTAGTAGATCAATATTTAGAAACACTTACTAATCTTGAGCTTTAAACTCCCTTTCTGTCTCTTTCCTTGTTAAGAGACCCAGGTGTTCTGTATTACCCTGTGGACCCTCCCACCCCTCTGTTACTTGGAGGGAAATCCAAGCTCCCAATTACTCTAAATCACAAATGCCTGCAGTTGGTCCTGCACCTCCACCACATCCAGAGTAACACAACTAGACTTCTTTTTGTTTATACCTGATCACTGCTTCCAAGCTAAGGAATATCCAGCTCCCTCCTACCTCCTTTCAGGTCCACATCAGGGCTTGCTCATTGGGCTTCCCTAGGACAACACCCTAGGCCCTTCCACCTCCCACACCTGTTATCTGTTTGGGCCCTGTAGGCACCACATCTTCTCTAGTTCAGTCATATATGTCATTTAAATGCTGCTTACCAATGTTAGCCAAGTTTAATTGGGAGGGAAAGAAGACAAGGCCAGACAGTCCATAGCTCCATTACTGTTTCAGTGGAATCATGCTCGATATAAGTATAGGAGTCCCAATGAGGTGTGGGTTTCTGCCTTTATGGAGAGATCTGGAGGGCATTTTCAGCAAAGAAGGTGTCATCACTAACAGCCATCCTCTAAAGTGGCGAGTTTGGGGCAGCCACTGGCTGGAGCGCTGGCTGGAGGAAGAGTGGAGAGTTGGTGGGAGCAGAATGGGAAGGTCATTATGTGATATTATGTGAGGTATTACGTGAATCAGCCCTTGCACCAATTGCTAACCATCCTTTTCTTTAATGTTTTCTCCTTATTTTCTTGCAATTTCTTTCAAGTCCAAGAAACATAAAGCAGAGGAGGGAAGTGCAAAGAGCATTTGTGGTCACTGTGAAGGAGAAGAACCACAGGAGACTGAGAATCCTAAAAAGTTGTTATCTGGGAGGAGGGGAAGAGAAGAAAGAGAATCTAAAAGAACAGATGAGCCATATAAAAAGAACAGAACATAAAAATAGATGAACTCAAATAAATGTCATAGACCTCAGATTATGCATTCAATAAAAAGGTGGAAAAGCAAGTTATATTAAAAATGCCATTGCTGTGCATCTTTCAAAAAGGAAAGGAGGAAGGGAGTAAAGAGGTGGATAGAAAAGTTACATGAATAATGAAAGGCTTCATTCACATGACATAGCAGAAGCAGCAGCCACAGGGTTAATAGCAAGGGTGGTAAACAGCATTTGTTTTCAAAAAGTGACATCAACCTAATGAGAAATTACAAAATCAATTAAAAAAAAAAAAAAAAAAAAAAAAAGAGACAAGGTGAATGCATCAGAGTATATTTTGTGAGGAGAGAATATGTATAATAAAAATTGTGCAAATGCCACTAACAAGGTAACATTTACAATTGTGTCTGAATATTATTTGATATTTATTACCCATGTTTACCCTTGTAAATAATTTTTGCAGGTTCTCGGAGTCTATTGTCATGGCAATTTCTCTTAATGATCTGTATATACAGATCCCTTATGTCACTATCATTCATGTTTAAGCATTAAGAAGTTCAAACAGTCGATTCCTCACTCCCACTCATGCAAATAAATACCAGCAGGAAAAAGGAATACAAGTATTGAACAGGTTAAATTAAAAAAAAAAAAAAAAAAAGTGACCTTGGTAAAAGAAAAACTAGTCTGAAAAACTAGGATGCTACTCAACGAACAACTGAAGACATCTCACTGACCCAGGAATTAATGCCTTACACACCAATGTGAACAACACCTATGTGTTACCACAAAGGACTGGCAAATCACAGTGCCTCATAAGCCAACACAGTTCAGCAGCCACTACCTATTGCAACGGGGGCAAGCTCTGCCACTTTGTGTATAGGCAGACACACAACTGGCACAACATGAACAACAGTCCTCCTCCTTAGAGCCAGGGCAGGAACACTGTGGTGCTGTCCTCCATAAAAGATCTATAACATCTCCAGTCTGGAGGAGGGCAAAGGAATCAACCCACATCGGTAAGGATGTATCTCCTTGGATACACCAAAAGAGGCTGCAGCATTGCAGTGGCCATTTTAAGCAATAACAGAGGGGACATTTTATTACAGTCAATGCAGCAGCTTCATCAAAAACTAAAGGGATAAACTGAAGCAAAGAAGATTTTATTGGGCTTCTTCAGCATATCTTCAACTCAAAGGAGACAAAAGCATTAATCTGTTTATCTTAGTCAGATCAAAAAGCAAATTAGAACTATTTAGCAACACACTTAAATGAATCATGGACATAGAACATGTTCAAATAAACTGTTGGCAATTTCCTTTGAACATCTTCAGATTAAAACCTTATTTTAGAAAGGTCCCTGTAGCTATTAAATTCCCTTTAGCAAAATTTCTATGTTTTATGCACTTAAGTTAGTAGTTCAGTGGTATTGGTTCTATGCATGACATCTCTAGCTAGAAAGCAAATTAAAAATATGGTAATTTTTAAGTCTAAATTCAAACAGCTGCTAATAACTTGGCATAAAGATAAATAAATGGTAGAGCCACAAAAAATCACTGACGATTCCCAACTGTTAGTTAAATAAAACAGCCTTCTCTCACTTCAGTCATCTGCTTTGGCTTTCATTCATATTTTTAATAAGTAAATATTCTAAATGCATTCCTGCAGTTCTCATTTTCTGGAACTGTTTTTTGCTCTCCTATTTGTTATTTGTTGAAGAACTACTTGGCATTTATGCCTTACGATTTCAAATAATATTAGGGGTGCAGTTTGAACAAAGCAATTCCGTATATTTGGTATTAAGAGCTTTCTTTCAGAAGAAAAATGTCTGAAGGAGCAGCCGCAGCTGGTGCCATTGGATGGTTTCTGCTGGCAGCCCTGCCTGGCGCTGGCATCTCAACAGTGGCATGCTGCCTCTCCAGCACCCAACTGCTCTGTGCATGAGTTCTCCTCCCTCATCAGTTCCATTCTGGTCACTGCAATTAATTTTCATTTCTTTCTTTTGTCTTCACTTTCAGCTCATTAATTTTTGGCCAGTCTCCATGGCTCTTTCAGCTCCGCATTTTGCTCCTTCTCTCTTCCCTCTTTAAGGCCTTTTCCTACCTTTTTTGGTCTTGTAGGTTCAAGGAGCAACTTTTAATGGCATCTTACACAAGGTCTGATGACTGTTCTGCTGTTCTCAGGACAAGTGGTTCCTTTAAAGAAAAGCAGGATGCTTCAAGCCTCCTGGGAGGTGCCAGGAGGTGCTGACTGCTGACTCTCCCCTGGAGGCAAAGAGCACAGCCCCTTCCCATTGGGTTTCTCCCTTGGTTCTTATTTTTGCTCAACAGATTTGTGACCTCACTGGACTTCCTAATGGATACACTACTGTGTAACCAAAGCAATACTTCATCTGTTCGATGCTTGCTGCAGTAAGAACAAATAAGCCTTATCCTGGGTTAATCCTAATTTATGGAAGTGGATTTTCATAATGTTTTGAAAAAAAACAACTGTTTTTTCTCAGCGGGGATGTAAAAGGACATTGTGCCTACGAGGAGTTCCCATTCCCACTGTGGCAGCACTGACAGATGACAGTGATCAGTGGAGGGATGAAGAGATCTCAAATAAACCCTTTAAAAATCAACTGGCTGCAGAGCAGGTTTTGTTTGGTTTTCTTTTTCAGCCAAATTCAATCACAGGTAATAGTGGAGTTACATCACTGGATACACAGGCTCAAATGAAACCTTGATAGAGCTCCCTGACTACTTTGAAGTCCTTACTTTAATGCATACTTTTACCTTGTAGTCATTGTGTTAATTCCTGTGCAAATACAGGAAAAGACTGCCATTCAATATAAGCTTCATATCTACTGGGACAAAAGAAGAACTAGAATGAAATGGGTCTAGGGATACAAATAATCCATGTATTTGTCCAAACAATGTTGCAAAATGTTTTGAGAAGAAATAAAAATAATAATTTCCTTATGGTAAGTTGCATGAAATATTTAATGCGTGAATCTGAAATGTTAATTATTTGATGGGAGTGATTCTTCAAAGCAGACATTGGTATCTAATTAGTTAAATCCTAAGGAAAAGCAGGCAGTATACCAGCTGATGCAATCGGTGGCAGCAGGAGTTGGGAAATAAATATCTCCATTTGGCACTGAAAAGTGAAACAGAGCTCAAATTTCTGTGGATATCCTGGCCCTAAGTTCATGCCTCAGAGCTCTCATTTCTGCAGTAAAGGAAAATTAAATCTCAGAGTTTAAGATCTGGGGTTCAGTGTGACTATTTATTAGAATTCATCTAGCCTCCTAGACTGTGAATATTTTGACTTGACCTAGATGGAGCTCTTGATAAAATCAAGCTCTCATGGGCATTACCAGTGTTCTGTGATAAAACTCAGCTTGGAAGCATTGTGCTGACAGAAACTGCAACACTTTAACGCAGTGATTATTATCCTAGTTAGAAACCAGAAACACCACAGCATGTGAAAACAAAGAACAACAACAACAAAAAAAAACGAATTCCCTTCCCTTCCCCAGATCTCAACCAAGCAAAAACCAGGGGAGAAGCCATTCATGGTGATGAACAATGTGTTTGTTCCTGGGTTTATTGAGGCCATTTCTCTGGGGATGCTGCAGTCAGGGTTATGGCAGCTCAGCTCCCTTCTGCCCACAGCAGCCCTGTCCCAGCGGCAGTAACGCAGGTAGGCATCTGGTGCTGAATGAGATGACTCCAGCACTAATCTATTCAAATGTAATGCTGGATTGTGTCTACGGCCAGCTTGTTTTGTGTCAGGAATGGGGGGGCGGGGGGAAAGATGACATTTTTAGGTTTAGCAGTCCCTCTGGAACAAGATCTCTGTTTATCAATATCACACAAAAGTGAGTACAACAGATGGTACCGGCTCTGGCTGTCCTGAGCCAATCCTGTGCATGGCTAAAAAGGCTCTTTCAGTACATTTGTCCTACACACCATATAATGCCCCGGAGCTATTTGTCATTTGCCTTAGTTCACACCACTGCTTTTCTACTTGGAGATTCTGCCACTATCTTTACATCATCTATTACGCAAAAATGCTGCTTCTCTTCTGAGATATTACATCTCTAGCTCCATTTAGCAGCAGAAGGCTCTATATCCATTGTCTCATGGACGATGTCTGCAAGCTCCTATGAACCTATAAGTAGATCTCTTACATGAATATCACTATTAGACACACATACAACAGTGCACTTGAACTGAGCCCCTGAGTTAAAATTGCAGTTTTCTTCATTTACAGCCCAAGGTTTGAGCTCAAGTCTCAGCACTTCCAAACCACCATCTCTTCAACTTAAAATGTTGCACTGTGGCACACATGACAGCAAGGAGAAAGAAATGGTGTCATATTTAGCAAAAGCATACTCATGTTCTCAGCCAGACTTGATCACGTCCATTCCTAAGAAAATGCAGTTTAGTTGATCTGCTCTTGGACAGCAACTGAATCGTTGAGCAAACTGTGTAGACTGCACCATTACAGACTTGATCTAGCATGAAGAAAAGTTTGCTTATGTGATGATGAGCAAGCTGGAAAGGTCTCCCTGCTGCTAGCTTGCTAAAAAGAAAATGAAGAGTAAATGATTATCAATAAAGTGTGTTTGGTTAGGTGTCACTCAGAGAAAGAAAATGCCATTTCATGTCACTTTTTAGAAAGCACAAGGCATGTAACTTTTGGGAATGGCTTTGCTCTGGACTAATCTTCAGATTCAGTATTAAAATCTCAAACTTCCCAAAGGAAAGAGACTCTGCATATTTTAATGAAAGATAAAACAACAATATAAACATACACAAATTTACAGAGGAAGGATCAACTTTAATACATCTGGAATAAAAGGTGTTCTTTTTTAAATATGGTATAAAAATAAATGCAAGAAACATTAACAGAGAATATACAGACAACAGACAAAGACACAGGTTTTCTTTCTCAATGTGAATACATCAGTGAAATGAAACCTTCTGTGCTAATTTATTGTGCAATAAATGTGATGCCATATGTATATTTATTAATATATGCATTTTTTACATTTCTTCCAGTTTTTGATTGACGTATTTTTTTAATAAACTGTGCCTAGCAGAAGCTTTTTTTTCACTGTACTTGAGCTTGCAGAAAATAAAAAGACACAGATCCAGCTTGATATGAAGGAGGAAGTGAGCAGACAGTTTTCGAAATGGAGGCATCGAAAGGCTAGAGAGTCCCTCGGAGTCTGTAATGCCTTAGTATACACAAAAGAAAACAAGTCAGGTCCTTGCTCATGCAACATCTTGTTCTACTGTCCTCTGATTCAGGCAATCAGTGAGCTACAAAGTATGTATAATGATTTGAGTCTGCTTCCATGCTACAAGGTGATCCTTTTAGTAGGACTGCACTAGACTGGTTAACCTCTTTGATGTGAGCGATTTCCCCTGAGGAAAAGATAAAAACAAAAAACAAAAACAGAAAACAGAGGCATGATCACTGCAAACCTGTTCATCAGCAACCACTCAGTGTTGCCACATCACTGTCAAATATCTAAGGGCACCAACTGGAGTCTGTCAAATCCTAAACCACAGGAAGCCCTTACACTTGCACGCCTGCACTGCCAGCCAGCCATTCTGTTTCAGAGTGTTTACAGCAAATTCAAAGGCCAGTTTTGAATGAAATTGGGTTTGGCTGTTAAGAAACTACTGCTGTGACAGCTTTGCTGTTGGTCACTCCCAGAACTACTTGAAGGTGGCCACCAGAAGTGAGGGTGCCTCATGCTACAGCAATGATGTGCACACTGTAGTAGCTCCATCACAGATTGCAGAAAGCTACTTTACAGTTGAAGTAAAAAAGTAAGAGGCAGATTGCATACAGGAAGGAAAGCGGCTTTTCCATGAACTTTGCAATAGGCTTGCTGATACTTCATTTACTATTTATAAGGAGTATTGGTCAGGTATGTTACATGGGACTGCCTAAAATTGCTTAGAAGGTGTTTGGATTTTCACATTGTCTTTTTCCTCATCAGTCCTCCTGTTGCAGAGATGTTGTTTCAGTTTCTCAGGAGGTTCTGTCCCACAAGAGTTAGCTGTACAGTGCAGAGAGGATAGTGTAGGTATGTTGTGATGGCATATTTCAGGCAGATCTGAGCTTTAGCTGAGCCAGACAAAAGCCACAAAACCACACAAAATGTCAGTTAGCTCTCCTCAGGCCATCCTGCTGTGGCACCAATTCAGCAGAGGCAGAGCTGGCACAGCAAGCTTACAGCACTTCTCAATACACCACAGGGATATCCTGATAATATAGATCATAAAAAATAAAATAGTAAAGGGCTCTATCTAACTTGTCAGTTAAAGGATATTTAATATTAACATCTATTGTTCGTTTTAAAATCAAACTGACTTCAAGGAAACTACACTAAGAATTACTGCAACTGTGAAGAGAGGTGACCTGCAGTAAATGGTAAATAAACTTATTCTGCTTTATCAGTGAGCTGTAAAGTAATCTGTTGTGCCGTGGAATTACACAATTTAATATCTGTTTTCCTTACCAATTAATTTTATGCTCAAAGAGATATGCAAGTTGGTTTTGAACATTTGCTTAAATGCAATATACCAGAATAGATCTTGACAAAAAGAATAGCCATTTTACTCTTTGTGCTCTGAAATAAATGTCATACAGATGAGGGTGAATTTTCCCCCTACAGTATAATATTGAAGGGAAATAATGATCTGTAATGTTGGATTAGATTCCTCATCTCTGAAGTTCACCATATTGCCTGACAATAACAGCACTTGCTTCTAAAAAAAAGACAGCATGTCTCCTTCTAGGCATGGTTTCCTCCCTTTATCTAGCTTTAACTCTATGAATTTCTACCTACATTAATTTCAATTTTTTTGCATTAGTTTAGCTTTAGATTATGTTCTCCCACAATGTAATAATTAAGCTGTTTAAACCACTAAGCTAAACACTTTTTAGATAAGCAAAATGTCTCCACAGCTATGTGGCATTGGACTACTACAATTTAAGACGGTAGCCCAAATTTGTTATGTGATTTTAGAGGTGGTGCAGGGTTGTCAGCCTTGTACATAAGCGAAGAAAATATTCAGCATATGCTGATCTTTCCATCTTATGAAGATTTTTGTCTGTGAATCTGTGAATTAATTTTGTCTTCTTATTTGCAGCAGCTGATTCTTTAGGAGTTGTAATTCCATGGAATTTGAGATGAACCATTCTGGCATCTGTGGAATGAACTGTGATATTATATAAAGTAGGAATTTTTGATCTAAGTGCAGGCAAAAAACCTATTCATTAATTAGTTGATCTGACTTGATAATCTTATTCTATGTATTAATTGAATTTTTCCCTATAGATGCATTAAGATGTCATGAAAATTTTGTTGTTATTTGGCATCACTTCCCCAGATACTGCTCACCACAGTAAGCTGAAAGACTTTGGGTAGTTTTTCTCCTAAGTTAAGGATTTCTCCGGATGTCTTATTCACCCCCTTCCTTCCCCAGGGTTGAATCTATTTCTTTCAGGTACAATGCTAATTACTGTTCCTTAAGCCAATTTTTCAATTTGGTCACCTACAACAAACGGGCAAGTTCTAATAGGTGTGGCATACAACTAATCACACATAGGAAATTGTTTGCTGTGCTAGTAAGATTAAAGAACATTTGAAAACAAATTCAGAAGTACTAGATTTTCATCTGAAGAATGAAAAGAAGATCTTTAATATTTTTGTTGTATTCTTGCCATCAACATGTAGGAGTATAGGGCCAAATTCTAAACAAGGAAAGGATTTTGGTCTTTTAGGAACAATTTGGACATATGAATTGAAACAATTTAACAATTTTATTATAACACACCAGCCAAATGAAGCTTTATGCATATATGCAAATGACCTTTAAAGACCCCTTCCAACTCTAAGGATTCTATTATTCTGTGATTCTGTATCTCAACAAGGGAGTCGGAGTACAAGCAGGCAGCAGAACAACTGGAGTCAATTACATTGATGAAAACCAAATAACTGACCTCAGCGTTCTCTCACCTACCTTAATATATTAACTTTTTAAATGCAGAGTTGTCCTTCCAATTGTACTTTTAGAGAGCTTGAGGAGAAAATTACAAAAGTATGTGCAGATTTATGAACACAAGCATGCTGACTGACCTATTCATGTAGCTGGACACCAACAACTCAATCTGGCAAGTAAGTCAGCAACAACTTCAATTCATATGTGACTTATAAGAGATCAATGTGAAATTTATATAGGGAACAGAGTTGAAAAATATGAAGGTTAAAAGATTAGTTTTCAAATTCTTATCCTTTCTGCTAAGCAACCTCAGTCACTCCTTTTTCAAGTTTCTTTATTGTCTTTAGGACTTATATTTCCAGTTCATAGAAATGGAAAGGGGAACACCACATATCCAATAGGGAGAATGCCATGCACCCTACTGGGAGCAAAATGACACAAAATGAGGACTGGCCCTCCTTGCTCTCACTATTCCTGATCTGCTTGTGTGTGGCAAACATGCTGAATGCCAGCAGCTTGGCCAGCATCAGCAGGCAAAGTTCCCAGGTGATATCCCTGGTGCCACTCGCAGTGCTGAGATAAACAGCCCTTGGCAGGAGCGCATCTGGAGAGGCACAGGAACAGAAACAGTAAGTCTCTGGTCAGTATTTAGCCAGCCCTTGCTCCTCTAAGGCAGGCAAATGGATTTAGCATTGCTCAGGGGGTCAGGATTTTGCTTTGATTTTCATCCAGTTGTGCCAGTGTATTTCTCTTTCAGGAAGGTGGTGAAGTGGAGGATGTTAGCATTTACTGAGTTTAGGGGACAAGTTCTCACCACTACCTTCAGTGGTTGCATGTGCAGGAAAATCCACTTGCCTGTAGTGGGGATTTGCAGTCCTCTCCTAATTTTACACTGCAGCTGTTCCTTTCCTGGAGCAGTTCATAGACAAAAAGGAGTGTCTGAGCAATTGCATAGTCTTGGTTTGGCTTGTTCCAAACTGGATGATAATTCCTCTTTCTCCTTCCCAAGTAATCTGCATATTCTGATGAGCTGCTCTAATTCCTGCTTAACCTGCAGGCTCTTTCCAGATGGGATAGTTTTAACTTGAAAAACCATCGGAAGGATGGGGTAGAATCTAAGATTTTCTAAGGAGCCAATGCATTTGACAAACAGTTCATTTCGTTATCACTTTGTACTTCTCAGTCTTCCAGTAGCTTAGGACACAGGCAAATATTTGTCAGCTGGGAAATGGCAGTCACTGGCCTAATATCTGAATGGGAGTGCTCTATTTCCTAATGGAGACAGACCCAGCTGTGCCAGTACCACACAGCAGCCCCTCCACCCCAGCACAAAGCAAGGCAGCTCAGCTCATCATTGCAGAACTGGGCAAAGAGGCCAACCTTCACTGGCATCTCCCAGGGATTCTCCTTTTGATTTTTCTCACTAAGCTGGGCAATCGTTCCTCAAAAACAACCTAACACTGGATTTATGGACTAATTATTAGTCCAAACTCAAAATTTCAATTATTATAATATATATATATTTTTTTCATTAAGCCATCTCTTTCCTAAAAAAGAGAAGGCTCACTTCTATGAAAGTTTATTGTTTCTAGGGTTTGGGTTTTGAGTTGTTTGTTTGTGGTTTGTTTTGTTTTTTTTTTTCTTTTTTTTTTTTTGTATTTTTCAAAGCTTTGGAGAAAAAAATTATTGGCTAATGGGAAATTAATATCTGCATTTCTCAGTAAAGGTGCAGTTCTTAGTATGGCAACATCAGTTTAAACATCTATAAAGTCTATACCCGACTGAAAAGAAAAGAGGAAGCTATTTTAAAGAGTTTTAATTACCACCTCTAGACCATAATTCGCAATTTTTCATATTAAGTTACACTGGACAGTGGATTGTGAAAATGTGCTGTGTTGCATGGCCTTCATATTTCTTATCTCATGCATTAAATAGTCTAATTTTACTGGTTTGGAGAGGAAAATCCTTAGAGGAAACTGGTAAGCAAGTTCTAAGCTAAGTGGAAGCAGATAGCTCTAAGTGGAAAGAGCATGGGTAATGTAAGACATAGTAGTTTTAAACCCAGTGTCATTAAATGGGGTTCTTGCTTATGAGGCTATGAGTGAAGACTGTTATCATTTGATGACTCTGGTTTAAGAAATGGACTGAGTTAGCTCAGTTTTGTACTGACTGTTTTCATAAAACACCACAAACTTGCAAAAAGCCCATTTTTTCACCTCGACAGTTAAGCAGCAACAGATAAAACTCTGACACTGGCGGTGGCATCTGAAGCTGTCACACCCACATGCAGTGATGGAGCATCTCCCCAGGGGGGTTCTGAGGAAAAGAGTGCACCTTACTGCCCTGTTAACTGGTCTCCTGCCAAGACAGGAAAATTTGCATGTAGTGGAAAAGAAATGAGCCTACTGTGCTGTAAATGAAATGCTTTGTTCTGGGTTTCCGGACCACTGAGCACAGCTAAACACAGGCAGGTGTTCACAAAGGTGTGTTGCTCAGAGACTACCAGTCTGCTACTGTCACAGTTCCTGATGGGAAGGAGAAATTAAAGTCTTCCTTAAAGGACCTCTTTTCTCCCATCAGTGTTATCAGTGCACCTTCCTTCACTTGTGGGTTTTGTTTTGTTTTTTTTTTCCTGTGCTGTGTAGATGTTATTACTTGAGGTAGTTTCCTAACTTTTTATTTAGGACAAAATATTACACACAGCAAATACAAGTTTGCTATTACTTTACCTATATTGTATCTTATATAAACATGTTTCTGACACTGTTCACGCTGGTGCAGACTGCCAAAAGCATTAGCAACTGCGCTGTATAATTTACAGAGCAAGCTAAATAACTAGTGCTTTTAGTTGTGCATATAGGGCGTTCATAAAGTGCACTGAATTACTGAAAGCTTTCTGAAAAGGAAACTCATCTCAAAGAAATGCAAAGCTAAGACTAGTTTTTATGTGTGGATAGATTCACTTCTGTTTTTTCCCACCAAACTAAAATAATGGGTGATTATCTTAGGTGACTTCAATTTAATTTTCTGATTAATACCGAGAGATAGCATGTAGAAAGTTTTAAAACTTTCTTGCTTAGCAAATGCTTTCTGTTGCAAGTATAACCCACTTCCAATTACTGCTCACAAAAGGTTCAGAAATCTCTTATAGTCTCAGCTTAACAAATCAGGTTATGAATCACAAGGTCATCCTCTCATGTTCAGTCCCTATATACAACTGGTTGTTTTTTTTTAACATTTCAAATAAAAATACTGAGGTCTAATTTAGTTCAATGCAAAGCCACTATGGTGTAATTGAGAAAAATAATGGTGGAAATGAGTCTAAATTTTCTAAATTGTCAGAAGATAAGTGAAAATACAATTTTCTTCTTTATAAATCATTCAGAGATATTTGGCTAAGCTGTAGAAGACCTGTTTCACATCTGTTTTCTGTATTAATCAGAAGAGCAGGTCTTTTACCACAGTCTGTCCCTTCACAGTAGAACAAGTTAATCAGTAGGATATTCTGAGAAACACTTGCCTCATCCCTGCATGTTAGAACCAGTGTACCAAATCACATAATTACACATTATAAACTCATCATAACTGAGAACAAGAATGGAAGAATAAGAATCCCTGGTGGCAAGGGGTCCTGGGTCTGTGGGGGATTAAAAACTCAGATCTCTCACAGAAAAATGTTTATACTTGAGAACCCTGATATTCTGGAGAAGTTTGCAACCTTCCGAGCTGCTCATCTCATCAGGAATGTATGCTTAGAAGTGATATTTTTTACTTTTGCAGCTGACCTAACTTGACAGATTCCACCCAAATTCATAGGGCAGTACTTTGAGAAAAAGCAAATGCACAGTATTTACATTATAGCTTACACCATGAGAAAAGAATCACCCTCTTCTAATGAAGTACTAATGCTTCATATTCAGAAATCCTCACTCCCCTTGTTCTAGCTCACAGCTTTGTTATTGGGCCTGCCTTACATCTCCAACATCCTGCTGATCTCATCTCATCTGCCTGAAATTAGCCGCTGAATGTTGGGCATGCCAGCAGGGCACTATGCTGCTCCAGTGCTGGTGTACAGGGCTGATGCTTTATCAGAGAATAACTTTAATGCCTCCCAGTCTGTGTTCACTTTTACACTTTTTTGTATTGTTTTCCTTGCACCTGCTTGGAGCTTGCTATTTCTCTCCTTACAGCCACTTGTTTACATACTTTTTATCATAACCAATTCCTGATCAGCTGGCTACTTAAACACCCAGCCTATATACTGTAGTTTGCCAGGCACTGTGATGAGCAAAATCTTGCCTCTCAGGAGTCCCAGATGTACTGTCTGCGCTCTCTCTCATTAACCCAGGCTCGTTTATTACTGTGGAACTTCCTGTTAAACATCTCCATGGAAGAAAGTAGAATCGTTACGTATAATGTTGTCACATATAACGTTGTATAGATCAACCTGTTCAGACAACACACAAATCACACTGCAACATGCTATGGCAACACCACCATGCAAAAAATAGGGGTTTTTGTTTCAAACATTGAGATAGTTTCCTTTGTGGCTGTTTATTTACTTTTTAGTCTTACTGACTTTGTCCCATTGAATTCAAATTTGATCCTGATTGCAGTGGATTCAAAGCATATTACAGGAAGCCTTTACCTATAAGAAAGTAGTCAAAGGATTACAGTTTTGTTTCAACATGTGAGATATTCCTGCAACCTCACAGAACTTTGCACTTTCACTGTATTTGTTTCTTGTTCTGATTACTGGAACATATATGCAATTTAAATACTCGAGGAAACACTCTTAAGCCTCGTTATACGGGAGGCAGTTTCTGAGAACTGCTTCTCCTTCCCTAGTAACTAAAAACAAAAACCATAATCTTTGCTGAAAGCTCTCAGATTTGTCATTTCAATGCACACAGCTCCACTAATCAGGTCACAGAAAAAGCCACAGATGCACACACACACAGCAGCATCAACTGCACAATTCAACAGACAATGCAGACAAACTTGAGTAGAATCCAAGATCTTTCTACCTCTTTTCATAACAGGTTAGTGCTCGCCCTCAGTGTTGGTGTACAGTTTTTATGGCATGGGAAAATAGGGATGTTTCTGCCCTACAAAAATAAATGCGTTGAATGCTTTAGTTGGAACTTTCACAAAGTTTAAAAAAAAATCCAAAGAAACCGGAAAAGTAAAAAGAATCCCACATTTCAAGCAATCAGTGGATCTTTTGGCTGGTGGCAAGATAATGCCCACAGCAAATTTACCAGCCTTCACAATTTTACCTTGGTGAAATATATTTCCAAAATTATTATTAAAAAGAAAAATAATTTGTTGCTGTATCCTTAAACAAATTGAAATCTTAATCAAACCCTTCTGCATCATCAGCATCAATTCTTTGGTCCTAAAGAAGCTATGCATTAAGGAGGATAGGGAAAGGGAAATTATTATTGTTCATTTTTCACTGTCCCCAATTACAAAAATGGGACAAACGCTTTTCTAGTAAAACCAAAAAAAAAGAGACAGCAATGAAATCCATTATACTTAAACTATATCAGGCTTAGTATTTTGGGAGGCACTGGAAAAAGGAACAACATCAAGCAGGTTTTCACAGATTCTTTACTACAAATTAAAAAAAAAAGAAGCAAATCATTTAATGCTTCCTAGTGTAAAAAGCATGGCTCCCAAAGTTCCAAAGTTCCATTCCTCCATGTGTGGAGGTCAGCAGGAAAGGGACTAGGGAGGAGGGGTTGTAATGAAAGTAGATTATAAAGCTGACATTCCTAGGAAAATTCACAAACTGTGATAAACAGACTTTTAACTGTCAGGTTAGAGAAGCAAAAAGGGAAAGGAAGGTTCGGTGAGGGGGAAAGGAGAAGGATGTCCCATCAGGTTTACTAGTCTTCCGAGGCAACAAACTTACCACATTGCGTGTGAATTTCTCAAAAGATGTTCGACGATCCAGTGTGTTTTCCAACTTAAATTTAAAATAAAATTAAAAGAAAAAGGAGGGGAAAAAGAAAAGCAAGAAAAAATGGAGTAGAAAAGGACTGATGAAACAATGGACTGCAAAACAAAGTTTGTATAAATAAGGAAGCAAACATAGGTATGAAGCTGTAATGGGACTCTGCAAAACAGCAGATGGGCAAAGCAGATATAGTATTTGACAAAAATCATTTTTCATGGGAATCAAAACGGTTTGATTTAAAAGAAAAACTGAAAATAAAAAGAAATAATGAAGTGCACATCTTGTGTTAATGAACTGACAATCACAAACTTAAGGACTTCACACGGACAGTTGTAGCTTTCTGGTATTTTCAACATTTCTCTCTATATTGGATCTTCAGAAATCAATGTTTGAACAAAAAACAAAATCACACAGTACTTTCATATAATTTTAGGTTGTCATTATAAACAGTAGAATGCTACGATGTCAATAACTACCTCATTTCAGCAATGACAGGGTCCTGATTTTGCAAGCACACGGCTCCCAGGTGACTCTAGGAGATCACTATTTAGAGCCCTCTAATAAAATTATTTATCTTTATAGAATTCTGCATTGCACAAACTGCTCCACATACTCTGGGCTGTGCCTTTTCAGGAGTCAATTCCGAATCTGGGCTTCTCTCAGCAAACATTACATGCCAATACATGAGCCTCTGATTGTACAAGTGTGACATGATCAGTCTTTCAATTCATATTTCTGATCTGTTTGAAACTATTCATGTAATAATAGGGAAAGAAATAGGATTAGGAAGCCCCTATTTTTATAGTTGGAATCAGAAGTTATTCATATGAGTGAGACTGTTTCTAAACACATTCTGTCGATTTTACAGGTGGAATAAAGAAAACAACAGTTATTACATAAGCAAACTTGCAAACATGAAAGACTATTCTTCTGGGATTTTATTTTATTTTTTAATGAATTTGTAAAGCACTTTGCAATTTAAGGTGCTTCATAACAGAGAAAACAGTACAATATGGGATGTAAAAATAAAAATACGTTTTGCTAGAATAACTTATTGCAACATGCCCACATGCAGATATATACACATATATGTATATTGAATTCCTGTGTATATGTGACCCTCCAAATACGCCAAGTTGGTCACCTACCAGATATCCAGTTGCACTGGCACAGGGGAGAGAAGACTGAGTATTGTTGCAAACATAACCACCGCTTTGCACAGTGGCAAGACAAAGGCAAGATGGACCAATACCTTTTTCTTGGCCTGTAGCAGCTCCTGGTAGGCACTGGATCGTATAAAACGAGGGTAAGAATCACTTTTCATCAGTTTGTAAATGTGCTCCTGAAAGGAAAAGAAAGTGTTGTTACTCCCACAAAAGAAGATATAGGTAAAACAGGAGGCAGTTGTATATCTTTAGCCAGCTACCACTACTTAGAATAGGCAGCGTTATGAGGTAAGGTTAGCTGAGGTTGCAGTTCCTCAGCTGAAGATGAGTTGCTTTCCTTCATTAAACCAGAAATTCCACTTATTTGTTACATATAAAGGATATAGCACATCTTCCTTAAACTTACTGTCCCTATTTTCTTACAGAATTATTTTTTCTGAGAATCTGTAACTTAGTTCTATCTTAAAGCCCAGTTTGAAACCTTCCTTACATCAGTCAGTTCAGTTAAGCGACCACATTGCTTAACTCAAATCCTTTCCCATCAGATTTTCTCAGCTCGTTTCTGGAGATGCTTTTCTGACTTGATATGCTTGAAAAGGTGGTAGGTTTCTAATTTAGTACTACAGATAAGTGCTTAACCTAGAGAGGGTGTCCCCTGGCTACTCTTGGAAGCATTATTTGAGAGATGTTTATTCTGCTACCCAGCTGACAATATAAAAAGGAAAATGCACATGCAAACTGAAAAACAGTTCCAGGCTAATCGAATTTTCAAGATATTTATTCTTCAGAGACATATAAAAATTTGATAGCACTAATGGAGAAAGAAGTGACACAGGCAGTTTATAGAGCTTTTTTTCTCAACATTCTCATCACTTTAAAATAAATTAATCAAAATAAACAAGGAAACAAATGGAAAAAAAAAAACTCACTAAAAATCTACAACGTGAAACATTTTATAATCTCATTCCAGTTATAATGTTAGAAGAGGAATTTTTAGAAAAAGCCATCTGAACAGGAAATATTCTCACAAAAGTATTTTAAGAAATGTTCTGCACTGTGTTAGCTGTTTCCATTTTCTTTTTCACTTAAGCCCTACCTTCTACCACAGGAAACTTTAGCAGAGCAAACAGGAAACAATAAACTCTACAGTAAATACTGTTTTTGAGGTTGGTACTGCAAGCAATTAATGAATAGAAAAAAAACCACCAAATTAAAATTATAGTGATGTAAAATTAAAGCTTTTTTTTTTTTTAATCTTTGCTTTGTTAGAAACTCTAGAGAATGATTCTAAGTGCCTTTCATTGTGCTTCCCACACTAAGCCAAGAAGTTCTGGCATACAATCAGAACTCAGGCTTGTTCATTTGGGGAGTTTTAATTCCATTCAGTTTATACAAGAGCAGCTGATTCAGGCAACTGAGAGCAGAAGGGACCCTGGTACTGACGTACATATCACTGATGATGGGCATTAAAATGCTATATCTATGCAAAAATCTATAAAAACAAGACTAAATTTGGTTGCATTAATATTGTTTGTGTACAATAAGTCGGAAATTGAGGATGGATATTATTTAGCACAATTGGTCTATTTTTACTTTTGTGTCACTCTCATCTGATATGGAATCTCACAGTACCATCTTTCAAGTCCAGAAATGCTTTTCAAAGCATTTTAAAGCACAATTAAATGACTTGATGTCTGCCAAAAATGAGTTATTAGTGGTCCCTTTCCCAAGAGGCAGAGCCCCACTACTGGCTGAACTCTGCCACTGCAGGTGGGGCACAAATATGAGAGGTGCTAAAGCATCAAGCTGGAGTTGGGCTTGCCCCTTTTACTCTGCAAAATGGATCCTTCCTGGCTCGAGCTGTATGCTGAACTGCATCAAATACATAGAAGCCTGAATGGAGGAAAAAATCCTTTATTGCATATGGACAGCATACTTTACCTCTTTCAGAAACTGAAGGGGAGAAAAAAGGGAAAAAAAAAAAAAAAAAAAAAAGAAGTAAATCTGGAAGTAAAATTACGTTGAAACTTTACACTTATTTTTATGAAACAAAAATTGGATGCTGGCAAGGAATTAAATTTTCGTTTTGTGACTCAATTGCAAAAAAGTATTTTCTTTTCAACCTCTGAACTTGCTAGAGCTTTTATTTGTGCAACTTGTTTTTGCTGTATGCTAAATTCCTAAATCTCCAGTGGCTCAGTATATGTAAGCAACACCCACTTGTTTGGCTTATTAAAATCACTATGAATGATATAGTGTTTAATGACAATATTATTGTTTCATCATAGGTTGCTATTATAACAGCAATATGAGAGCACACAAATTTTCTTTCTTTTTATATTGGTAGAATTATTCGTCATCCTACTTAGGGCAGAGGCACTTTCCCAAAAAGTACAAAGATTGTCAGATTCAATTTCCTTTCTGCTTTGAGGGTCTTAGAACAGTATCTCCTGGCTTCCAAGTTGATGTCCTAATAATCAAGCTGTAGAATATTCTGTAGGGATATGATCTCAATCTCTCCTTTTGACACCATTTCACTTTGTATTAATAATTAAATTTTCATCACTAGGCTGCTTATGAAAAAGGGAGGGCAGGAGTAGTTCTACAGCTTTTATTGTGAAACAAGTTATTTCTGTTGTATTTCTCAGAAGTCTTCAAGTATAAAATATTAAGCTATGAGTCAAATGAAATTTCATTTACCATTTAGGTGCTTGGGTTTTTTGTTTTTGGGTTTTTTGTTTTTTTGGCGGGTGGGGGGGATTTTTGTTTTTCAGTTTTATTTTTTTCCCCTGAGGAAAACAGAAACTTGTATTTTACTGCTTTGTTTTAACTTATGCTCCCATCCCAAAAAGTAAGCATCTTCATAACCTAGCTCTGATTGAAAGTATCTTTTGATTATGGTATTCAAAAATGTACTAAGTCAAATCCCCAAAAGCCAGATAAGACATTTACAGACTGTTCTTTACTCCTATTATACTGCTTATCAAAGAATACATCCTTAGGATATTCTGTAGATGATAATTTAATACAACATCCATGGAATATGATATTTCTGCATAAGCCACTATCAAGTTTTTTTCTCATGAGTCAGATTTTCTTTGTGATGAGAAGCCTCACTATTATAAATGACAGCAGCAGTTTTGGATGAGCACTGAGAGAAAAGACACTGAGTATGTATCAAGAGAAGTCCTTCACAGGCAGATCTTGAGAACTAGAAATTGATGCATACCAAACCCAGTTGAAGACTCCGGATACAGAAGTTTCATCAACAGAATTAATCATAGAATCATAGACTCATAGAATCCTCAGAGTTCAAAGGGACCTTTAAAGGCCATCTAGTCTAACTCCCCTGCAATGAACAGGGACATGCACAGCTAGATCAGGTGGCCCAGGGCCTGATCCAGCCTCATCTTGAAAGCGTCCAGGGATGGAGCATTAACCACATCACTGGGCAACCTGTTCCAGTGCCTCACCATCTTAACTGTAAAAGACTTTCTTCCTCATATCTAACCTATCCCTTTTTTGAGCTTGAAGCATCCAGATGCAAATAAATGTTACACATTTGAATTTCCAAAATATCAGTTTGGAACACAGAACATTACTGTTTAATTCTCAAATATATCTTATTTTATGCATATGCATCTCAGTAGCCAATAGTCTGTTTCAGATTTCCATAAAAAGAATTGCAAACTGACCTGAGCATCTTCAAATGTGTATCTTCCAGGGTCTTTTACATTCTGCGTGGTTTTGTCATAACTTTTTGAATCTAGATTGATGGCACTGGGTGCACCTGGAGCAAGAAATTCTTGCCAGATTTCTTGGACACGAGCAGGAACTTCACGGATAGGCCTCTTCTTCAGGTCTTCTACTGCTAACCAGAACCTATGGCACAACACATCATCTTGACTTCCAGCTCAATATAATCACTAATGAAATGGTGATAGTTTTCTCTGCTCTTAAAAAAAAAGAGTAAGGTAACTACAGGTTTCATATAAAACGTGTGAAAATAGGTAAAATCTATCAATTTATTCTGGGATCAAGACTGGTGCCATGTCAGGCAATCCAACTGCCATAAAACGCAATTACAAGCCTAGACAAGAGAGGTGAGAAATGCTTCATTTCTTATGCAGGTGTAGCTTTCTTAGGAGGTTTTCATTTAACTGGAATTAAACTGAGATTTCATTTCACCTGAGTCACAAGGTCTTACATCACTTATAAACCTATTGCTTTTTGACATTCCTTCAGAAGCTAATAAGAACTCATGCTCCTGATATCTATGTAAATCCGAGTCCTGCTAAGCTATCAGCCAAATAACTGTATTGACAATTTTCCTACTTTTACTCCATAAATCATGTATGTAAAAGAAAAGCATTTCTATAATTTCATTTATTTGTTCAGTATTGCATTTCTAAACTTTTTTTTTTTTTTAACTGCAGCGTTGAACAGAAGCACCCATTCTCCTGCTGCAGAGCAAACCAGCATCAGGCAACCACAGTGACAGTCATCCTTCTCATTCTAGAGAGAGGGCTTGATTGAGCTGTGATCACAGCCAGCTAGCTATGAACTTTGTTATTCTGTTGTTATTTCCTATTAGGAGCTCTTTATTGTTACCTCTCTTACAGGTATTAGAACTCTCACTGCACAAAATTCAATTAAATTAAATCAGGATGTCATGCTTATGTACACTACAGAACCCCTACACAGTTGTGTTTTTTTTCCTCAGAGAGCTCAATTGAAGTATGATTTTTATCATGTTACATATGCAACCACTGCAAAAGATACAACTTTTCAGTATTGTTTTGATATGGTTGGCTCTATGAAACAGGTCGGCTGATGTGTGTGAAACAAGTCAGTTTTTTACAAGGCTGACAGCTAATTTAGGTGGACCTTTAAGATGTGGTTCAATCCTGCTTAAAACATAAAATCAATCTGAAATCTCCTAGCTTTGTCCGAGAGTGAATGGTTGGAGAGAGGAATTGTGGATGGGTGTTAAGGTAAATGAAATAATACCACACTAAGTCCAAGTCATAATATAGTTACTGCAACAAATCATAAGAGACAGTAAAGCACTTTAAAGAAAAACTTAGAGTATTCCTATTATGACACATTCTTCAGTTGAGATAATTTACCTTCTGGGCAGCAATTAATCCTTCAATTCTGTTTCAAAACTGCTTTATAGTGTGCTGGATGGAAGGAGCCCGTGCTCATGGGTTCCAAGCCACTACAGTCAGTGTCACAATACCGAGCTGACTATTTCAGGCACTTCTGCACCTTCCAGTTGCATGGTATTTACACACAGCTTCTCAGCCTGTTAATCCCATAAAATTCTCCAAGAGATAAAGAAGTAATATTGTCCCAGTTTCGCAAATACATTAATAATGTACAGTGTTTTCTCCAAGGTCACAGAGTCTGTGCCAACACAGAAAAAAACTTCAGTTTCAAATATTCTGAGTAGAACCACTTATCTGTGTGATCTGCAATATGAATTGAAAACAGTTCTGCACAAAGCCCACAGATATATTCTGGGAATCTGACGGCAATGCAGTATGTATAAAGGCCTCATAACTCAAGTTTTAAAACGGCACAGCTCAGAAACTTTAACTCAGTTCACTCTGTCAAATTTGGGCAACCTACTTTGGTTTCCTTAAGCTACTTTTAATATTTGCATCTAAAAGTGCATATCCTGCAGTGCCAACCCCTTTATATGCATCTTCTGGGACTGACTGATAACTCATGTGTATCAAAGTCAGGTAAGGAACAGAAAAATGAAAGAGAAGGATGTTCTTTGTAAACATACATTTTCTATCACCCTGCAGACAGCCTGAGTATCTAGCTCAAAGCTGTCACATTCTTGTTTGTTCCTTTATATGACTGCCAGTATCTCTGGAAGTCACTACAAGTATGCCTTAGGATGCTATTTTCTTTCTCAAGTGAACTGTTTCCATACAGTAGGTTATACTCAATTATGGGAAAATAGATGGGAGATAAATTGGACTTCTTTGAGTAAACAAGAAGCTTCCAATATGGAACAGCAAGGTTGCATAGATACATTCTTAGAGGCTCAACATCAGATTTTCAATAAATTAATTTTATTCCACCCTTCTAGCATTAGCATTTAAAAGCTCTATTGGAAATATGAGGCTCTAAATATAGAAAACACTTTAAAAGCATGAAGAAAATGCTGATTTCTGCAGCATGCTCCATCTAAGAAGCTTATTCACAGCCAAAACCGAGTTCACTAATTTAATCTACTTTTCAATTTCTTAATCTATGTTTAAGAAAAAATGCTTACCCTCCTCCCACATAAGAGTTAAAGTCAAATATGCAAAATTAGGAAAAGCCAAAAATGAGGCTGCTACCTCTTGCATTTTCTAAAATAACATTTCTGAGTATCACATGGCTATCAAAAGCACAGATTATTGAAGGAAGTGGAAATGGATTCTGCAAGACCTCAGCAGAGGCCTCAAAAAGATGCACCTGTCTGCTTTTATACCTCTGCCTTGCAGGCTGTGATTAGAGCAAGGTAAAATTCCAGTAGCAAAGGGTATGTCTGCAACAGTAAATACACGAAAGGGGAAGAGAGGATAGAGGGAATTCCAAGTGCATTTTCTGGACAAATCTATGCACAGACTTGGTTGTACATTTCACAGAAGGAACTAGAGCTTTGTCTCTTTCCTTGAATGAAACTTGAAAATCCTGTTAGCTTCAGTCATGGAGACCCTCGCTAGAGGATGCTCAGTACCATTTGAATAGACAGTCTGAGGGTCAGGGTATAAACCCTGCTGCTTTGTTCATCCCAGCATTTAGGCTGTGTCATACTAGGTCACAAGCCAGATGTATGGCTGAGTGAGAGTGTATAGCATGAGAATTGTACCTCCAGCCACATAACATGATAGGACACATGTTGAAAGACATCTGGGGCTTACGTCCTCCAGCTGGAAAACTTTCAAAGTGTGGGTGGCCGTGCCAGATAAATAGCACAGCTGCATCCCAGCTTCTGTCCCATTAACTGACCTAAATGACTGAGGCAGCCAACAGCAGATCCCAGATTAAGCTAATCAGTTATATTTAGCACATAGCAACATAAGAACACAGAGAGAGGAAAAAAGCTGCAGTGATTCTCAACAAATGTGTGAGAATTAAGCAACACTGAGAAAGCAAGGTGGGTTTTCCATGGGCTTTGCAACCCATGTATGTGTCACAACAAGTCAGAGACAGACCTCAGCACTTTCAGCAAGACATTAACAAATTGCATTGAGAAAAACAGCTAGCATTTTTTTCTGGCTGCATGAAAGATTACTTTTTGACTCCTAGAAACCACCTTCTTGCCAAATACAACTTCAAACTTCAAATATAGTAGCACAAGAGTTCTTCAAAAAAATGGGAGGGAATTAAATCTGGTAATTAGTGTCTTCTGATCTGCAGAAATTACAATATTTTGGGGACTTGGGAGTTTACACTTCTGACTGAAACAGAAGCAAAGCACAGGTAATTTCAGCCTCAAAGATTACATTTTGGCCACATTAGCACTTAGAACAAGGTCTCATAATCAACGGTATGAGTTATAAACACTAGCAGTACCTCAAAGAAAGTAGCTACCAGTGCTTCTGTTCAGATTTGCTACACTATCAAGTACAGTTGATTGTTCATCATACCTTTATAACTTCCCTGTTAGTGAAGACTGGTCATCAATAACAAAGAGTGACAAAAGAAGAAACAAGCTGGATTAAGAAAAAGAACTTTGCTTCTTGCACCATTTTCCCCCTAGTGCTCTAGAAAAGTACTGTCATGCTGTAATTAAAAAAATTACCTGGAGTAAATAAAACATAAAATTAAGCACTATGACTGAAACAATTTGTGGGCAAAAATTATACATTTTGGTAATACTTTTTAATTCATTTATTTTATAGGACATAATCACAGCCTCTATTTCCAGTGTAGAACATTTTTACAGCAATTTAGGAGTCCATGATAAAAATTTCTCACAATCTCAGCTTGCAGAGGTCTGAGCACATCCAACTTCATCAGGAGAAAACACTTAAAGAAAACTTAATTTAACTAATTTCTCAGTCCCTTTCCTTTCTCTGAACAGACAGAACTCAGTGCCTCTTTTCCTTAACTTGTTCATTCAATATGGAAGATAGTAAATGAGGGTCAAAGGAAAGGGCAACAGGTCCAGTGGCTTTTGCTTCCGTGTATCAGGGAAGATGCTCTGTCTCTGTCCTCCATTCATTAACCTGTGAGGCTTTTGCAACTTTGGAGATCACCCCTACTGCAGTACTGCATAATAGACTGTGACAGGTTTTCAGATTGGCAGCACTGAAATTATTTAGATCTTCCAATCGTTGGTAAATCCTACAAAACAACCACGTAGGAGCAAACGTACAGTTCACATGAATGCTGTTTTTCCAAAAAATTCTGCAGCATGAAGACAAAAGAAGGATAGGGAGAGGAATGGAAATTTTCTACAGAGGTGAAGAAATTCAGTTTCCAGGTGCCACGTTTCCATAAGATTCATTTCACTAGGTTACTCTTTGAAAATCTCCTTTCCCATGCTTGAACTGCCTTGCAACTGAACTCAGTAGCACTGGATCATGCCAAAACTGAAGTCTCATGAATTGTGAATATTGGTCACCATGTTTGTAATACGCAGTGGGAATTTTTATAAATTATCCAAACTTCAGGTGTTTGCTCTCTTGTATTGAACTGTATGCAAAGTGATGCATTCAAAACAGCTGCATGATAAGGAGAGATTACAACTCATAGATATGTTAGGTGAATGAAGAATCCATTCTGGCTGTTAGTAAAACTCAATCACATTGCAATTAAGCTGCCATGCTGATAAACCTTATCAGGCTTTCTGAAGAGCTCACTGTTAAATGATCAAGCAGAACTAGATTCATGAGATGGCTTACAGTTTTACTCAATATCTCCCTCAGAAGGAGCATTCCTTTGCTACCCTTCACAACACCCCTGGAGAGGGAAATACTATTAATTCCAATTTATGGGCAAAGAAAGAAAAACAACAGAGAGGAACAGAAAAAAAGAAGTGAGTTCTGATTGCATTCCCCTTGATTCACAGAATCACAGAATCACCCGGGTTGGAAGGGACCTCAAGGATCATGTATTTCCAACCCCCCTGCCTAGCAGGGCCACCAAACATACACATTTAGATCAGGACATACACATTTAGATCAGATTTTGATCAGATTGCACAGTTCTTAGTTTTAACTCATGACTCAAGTTTCTTTATCCCTGTTCTGTTTCTCAAAATGCAATCTATATCCTCTAAGACTCAGGTTCTCAGCCAGTTTAGGCACTCTCAGTTCAAGTCAATGAAACAGGTAATACTGAGACATTTAACTACTTAGACAATTACACTTGAATACAAATGGTGCATATGGTAGACTTAACAACTGATTCACATTTCAGGCTTTTGTGATTGTTTGTTTTGAAGTGAGGTATAAGAATTCTAATCAATTAGATTCTCTCTGTAGTGTTTGAGTATCTCTTGTACTGTACTGGGTAACTTGAATCCACAGTCCCAGCTGTATTACCTCCCTTGAGTTTAATGGCACTTACTGATTATGACTGTAGAAGGATAAGAGCTAGCTACTGACTTGAATTCACACTGTTGCAGTAGGATGAGTGAATGGAAATAAACATTTTGTTCAAGGTGGCTGTCAAATTCAAAAATAAGGAAAATCAAATTGCTGTAGTGAGGTTAATAACTGAGCAAACTAACAGGTAGTCTTTTAAATTTAAGGTTTTTCTAATAATAACGCTTGAAACCACCATGCCCCAAATGCTTTTAATTTCTCTTAGTGTGACCTGTAATATTTTTATTCTCATATGCAATGAGCCTTACAAATTCATGCTTTGTAACCTGATTTTACTGTTTGAGCTTAACTGTGGATTGATTTCCCCAGTTTGAGAACACATAAATATAATTCAGAGCTTGTGAGACAGTTTTCAGTTAATATCACAGAAAGCCCCTTTAAAGTAAGAATTTGATCCTCTGCCCAATTCTTCCCAATGAAGCCTTTAAGCTCATATTCACTGCTGCTGTTAGGTATTTTATAATACTGATGTAAAAATCTAGAGAGATGGAAGAGAAGATGGCATGTCAAGGAATCAGCTCTGAACAAATTTCTCTAGTGTATTTTTCTGGATCAGTCACTTGCAGTTTGCCTGTGGTTAGTGTTGTAAATAGGATTAGAGAAAAGAGCTGGGGATTATGTGGGTAACACTGTAGTTGGCAGAGAGACAAATGAATCACAGAAACACACTGAAACTGCAGTACATACCAGGCTGGATAGGTTTATGTTTGAACAGCTGCTCTGCGTAAGGAATTGCCAGGATGTTTTGTGAGTGAAAAAATGGATTTTTCCCTCTTTAGGTATCATGCTGAGTTCATCACTGGATTTGTTAATTAACAAAAAATCTTTATATGTCACTAATGAACTTATCAGCATGGAAATCAGGCTATATTTCCATGTTTGAGCTATATTTCCAGAGAGGTAAAGTAAAAAAAAGTCATTTGGGAAATATAAGGTATAGCGTACATAATATATACTTGTGATGCAAAGTTCAAAGTATGAACATGGTCAGCAACTTAGAGAAATCCATCTCTAGCTATTCCGCAGTTAATCCTAAATTAACAACAAGGAGGTTTGTGCAATTACTGAGCATTTAAGGAACCAACACCACAAAGTGCTAAATGCCTCTTGTCAAATGCTATGTAAAGGCAACTCTAATGCTATGTAAAGGAAAAGGAAAGGTTATACAGCACCGCTCAGGACTAAGTGCAGGCACACACACACACACACAAAAATGAGGTTCAGGAATTTTCTAAGTTTTGTAATGTAAGTAAATAGGATTTTATATTCCTTATTCTATTGGTGAATGAGAAGTGGTACAGATGACATTTGACAAGATGGAACATAGTGAAAACAGTGGCATACATGCTTATGAGCTATATACAGTCTGACTCATCAGTCAAAATACTGCTATTGGTTCCTCTGAAGTAATCCCTACCATAAGACTTCCTCAGAACAGCAATACTAGATATGCTGAAAGCCAATGGATGGAATACTATTTCTTTAAGTCAAAGAATATTTCTCTTGAAATATTTGGAATAGTACTTTGAATAATCTTTTTGAAATAATACTGCTTATATACATGCGTGATTTAAGATTCATACACTAAAAACAAATTTGCATTTTGCAATTAGTAAGGAATTTGAAAGGTGAACATCACATTACTTCTGTGTCTGATCCATATGATCTTCGTGGAGCTTTTCAAGAGACCAAGAATCCACATAAACGGGACCAACAGTGAAAGTTTTAACTTTTATTTCTAAATACTTTATCTATTTTTTTTAACAAATTTTCTTTAAAACTTTATTTTTTTTCATAAAACCAAACATAATAAAAGCTACTGAATAGGTTTTAAGTGGGTCAGTGTTTTAATGCTGTATAATAGAATGAACTGAGAGAAAGTCTTTTATGTGGGTATTTGGACCAAAAGTTGAATACGAATAGGAGACCATTTCATGCGAGTCTCTGCTGATTATATTAGTTTTTCTCTCAACCTAAATATAAAAACCGGCAGCAATCCACATGAATTGACTCCAAAACATAAGACACAAGATAACTTTTGATGGGATTGAAATCAAGAAAGAATATGTCACCCAAAAATATTAATAAGAAAATAAGAAGTATCTTAGGAGCTACTAAAACATAAAGTATTTCACCTTAAATTTTCTGAACTGAATTCAGACTCCAGAAACTTGAGAAATTGCTCTCTTCCCACAGGGTCTTTCAAAGCTTCATCCATGCCAAATCCCCATCGTTTCACCCTCTGCTGTCCTGGCTCTTTGCTACAGGAAAGGAAGCAATAAAACCCACAATCAGCAATACTTCAGTGTTTTAGTTCTCTATGTACAGAATATAGCAGATAAAGTCCTAGAGCTCAGCCAGAAATTTCTCACTTTCCAGATTGCTCACATCAGTGCAAAGTTCAGCAATGAGTAACCAGGCTGTTATTGCTCAGACAGGATGAAGATAAAATGCATTCACTTTTGCAGAAGAAAAAGGACTTCCAACTAGCAAATGTTACCAGATTTCAAAAAGTCATGTTTTTTTTCCCCACACTGGAATGCTATAGACTGGTTACAGTAACTTTACATAGATTTATTAATCCATAGCTCTTCACATCTTCTGAAGCTAGAAAGACTAAAAGGATATTGCATTTACTTTTGCTTCAGTATTTTCCTTCAATGCCTCTTTCTGCCTGAAACTTTCACATTTCAAGAGAAGCCTGCTAAGCACCCTTCACCCAAAAGACAAAGAAAAAAAATATATACCTTGCCTCCAGTTCCCAGAAAGTGGTGTCGTCAGATATCCAAGGGTTTGAGGGATCAGGGGGCACAAGAAAAGGATCATATTCCAAATACTGCTCTGTATAAGCTAATAGACTAGGAAAACAAGAGCATCAAACATTTGTCATGTCAGGAGGAGAGAAAACCTTATTGTGTTATCCAGTCAAGAAGTTACTGTGCCTCAACCAAACCGCTGTAACCAGGTACATGTACATTCCAAAACAACCTACAAGCTCAAGCTAAAATATGTTTGCTATGCTTTAAAAAAATTAATGATTCCATTAACACTGAACTTGTGGATCCTTGAAGAAAGAGCGTGCTTCGAGTCTTTCTTACCAAGAGCTGAAATAAAATAAATTACGAGCTTTCCTAATATGTCCAAAAATATCCCCAAAAAACACAAAGTTGTTTTTTTCAAAAAACTTCAGGGTTCATGAATAGGTCTGAATCCCATGAACAAACCAAAAACTTCTTTATGTTGTGTTCTGTTACTTTACGTCTCCCATGTTCTAATTCCCACTTTCTTTTTGTCTAATAATTATTGAAAATCATTGAAAAGTGAGGAAAAATATTACTTCTTGTTGTTTACTGCTTACAGTGTACTTAGTCCATAATCTCTACTGTTCAGCAAGCAGAACACAATGCATGTGAATACATAAATATGTATATATAAGCAAACACATGTGGACACACCTATATGATAGGATGAAGACGTGTTTGGTTTTATTTCCTTCAGTTGATCTTATGCAGCTCAATCTTTCTGCATTTTTCACTTTATCCATGTACTTCATGATCCGTAAGATACAGCAGACATTTTCTTTACCTAAACTGAAGGTGAACTTTCTAAAGAGCCTTTTTGAATGGTTTGGTGTCTAGCCCCTTACTTGCATATTTTGTTCCAACTTGGAAAGAGATTCCTGCTGGTGTTATGTGCTGTTGTTGGATGTAAGCTCAGAGCCATGTTGCTCAAGCTGAGAGCTCATCACCCAGCAAGCTCTATCAATCAGATCCCTTGCTTTGTCAGTGATTACCCTTTCGAAATATCAAACTATAACCCCAGACCTATTTCTAGTTAGCCTCCCTGTCAATGCAAGGGGAAACTTGAGAACACTTGGTCAGAGGCCACTACAGTGACTTGAATTTATCAGGAATATCTGGGCCATGTTTTATCAGAAAAAAAAATTCATACCTCACACTTAAACTCTCTTCAGTTATTTCTGTGACATGAGTTCTCTTGCCTCTCTTTCTTTCAAGCTATTTCATGCTGACATTTTCCAAATAGTTACCAGTCTAATTGAAAAAACAGAAGATGTGACAATATACTTACCTCTCTGCAACTTTTGACATTTTTAATCGATGTCTGTCTAATTGCATTTGCCAGTGTTTAATCTGCGAGAAAGGAAAGCAGAGTGTTATGAGTAATTCATTGCTTGGCTCTATTTCCATAACTTTTTTATTAGGGCTGTAATTTACCCTGGGGCACAGAAAAGAAGTATATCTGAAATAAAACAACACTTCATCAGTGTAGTTCTAAAATAAATGGAATTTTCCATCAAAGAGAAAGATTATATAGAGGAAAAAAAAAGAAAAAAAAAAAAAGACCCATTGTAACATGTAACATTTTTCCCTACAGGTTCATCAAAAGAAATTCAATTAGCCTTTTTTAGATTTTTGAAGAAAGCTACTAACTCTTCAGACATTTACCTTCTCCCATTTCTAATGACTCAGGAAAGACTAATGAAATATTAACAACAGATAAATGTGTGAACCCATATATGCACACAATGAAAGGTTAGTGTGCCCCCATAGCTCAAATCAAAGTGGTGAAAGGAAGAGTGATTGAGGAGTGTAATACTAAAGGAGCTAATGGGCTGAGCTATGCAAAGAACCCACCAACTGGACTTTTTCTAACTGCCTTCAACTGTTTCATCTGAGATATAAAACATGTCACATTTTGTCTCATTAATTTTAATAGAAATTACATACCGAAGTCCATATACATGGTGCAAGGAAAAAGTCTACTAAGCAATTCACAGATCTACTCTGAACATACTTCCCAGGTAGGACAATTTTTGGTTTACTACCTACTTTCCTAAAAAGTTCATTTAAAAGTAAATGCTTGTAGTTATTTTTCAAACCTCTTGGTGTAGTTCATCTTCTGTGGGAGGCTTAGACTCTGGTACTGGTGTGTGAGTAGGGCTGTGACTTCGGATGTCATTTTGTAAGCCATAGACAGACTACGCAAAAAATATGGAACAATGAGAGTTGCTTTTAAACAACATTTCCTACATAAACCCACAGTACATAACTGGGATAAAGTGCTCAAGACTTTATTCCAGATCACCAACTTCTAAAGAAGCTATAAATAAATCATGTGCTCACATAAAATTTTGTTTCTATGTATCAATAAACTGTACAAAAAAACCACAATTTCCTAAAGTCACTGAACATCAACTTGTATTTTGTCTCTATATTAATGACACAGCAAACATGGGGGATGACACTGAAATACAGCTATTAGAATAAGGTCAGTGGGAAAAACTAGTCAGTTGGAAAATAATATAGTTTCCTTTTGAAGACAAAAGGAACCCCAAAAGGCACACTTAAAGTTGGACTCAGTCTACATTATGATAAAGAGGATTCGATAGAAAATATTGTTTCATTCCACCTATATGTCCCTAGAGAACAGAAAACAGTTTGTATCAGGATACTAGTGCAGATGAAGCTTAGTTTGTCCAGTTTTTGTACATCTGTTTGATGCAAAATTGTAAAATAGAGGCAACCTTTTCATTAAATTTTGCACAAGAAGCACTACTGTTACAGTTTACACTGCATTTTTTCATTTATTTTTCCTTAACTAATAACATAAACATTTTCATTTATTCAAACTACTGAACAACATGAATAACATAAGCAAAAAAAAAAAGATTATTTTCATAATCTCTGGGTATTCCTCCAAACACTTTCTTATGTGACATCATTTACTTAGTATTAGAAAATTCATAAATAGTAATTAATTTAAGACCTTATTAAGTAACAAAATATGTTCATGTACTCATTCCTTGCGGCAGTAATAAAAAATATTTTAATAAACTACAGAACTTCTTGCAATAAATTACCTCCATTTCCTGCTTCTTATATAATTGCAGTACTTACCTTTCTTGTTTTATGTGGATTTCTCATTCTTGAAGACTTTTTTATATCCACTTCAGTAGTGTTTACACATCCAGGCTATTCAAAGAAAAAGAAAGGAAAGAACTAGTTTCTTTTAATTCATCTTTCATAATTTTCTTTAAGTACTAAACTCCCTGTAGTAGTCCATTTTTTATTCATTTCTGGAAGCAACTAATAATTGTTATCCTCTCAGGTGAGTTTTACCTATTGATTTTAAAGGGATTAGATATCCCACTGGGAGTGGGAAGTAAAAAATCTACTCTCTAGTGAGAGTACACTTGTTAGTGAAAATAGGTTGTCTTGTTTTACTTTTAGTGGAATTTGGAATTTACTTGCCAAAGTGGAATTATTATCACACTAATGGGAAAATCACCAGGACTGCTCTAAAAGTAATGCCTCCTGTTTTATTATGTTAGCTCATGATATCAGAGGTGGATGTTGATGGTATGACCAAGTTGACCAAGTCCAAGTTGAACCCTCCTACCAACATTCTATTACATGTAAATAGTTGCCATGTGACAGACAGCAGGAGAGGGGCAGTCTGACGTGGAAATACAAATGAAGCAAAGATGCGTCACTGAATTCCTTCATACAGAAAAAATGCCATTCTTGGATCTTCATCAATGCATGCTGAACATTTATGGAGATCAAACAGTGGTTGTAAGCACAGTGAGGTGGCAGGTGGTGTTTTTCAGCACTGGCAACAGCAACAGTGGTTCACCTCTGTTGGCAAGCAAGCTCTTGTTCAGTGCTGGTGAAAATGCATAGCTAATGGTGGTGATTACATAGAAAAACAGTATTTTGTAGCTGAGAATTTGCTCTACATAATTATTGTTATTGTGCTCTTTTTATCCGTTGTAGTTTCTATGGAAATAAATAGGAGACATTACTTTCAGAGCAACCTACGTGTTTCCTCATCATTCTGCAAAATGCTTGATAAGGTGCTGGTGTAAATCTTCACAGAAAAAAAATTTTTACATCTTTCTTATATTGACAAGAAACAAATACATTTCATTAAGCAGGACAATGGTACTTTATCTCCAGAAATCTATTTCAAATAACAGCTTTTAAATTAAATTAAATTTAAAATAAAATAAGTTAAATTGAATGATTTTAAATGCAGCATTTTTAAAAAATTACACTTTTTAAACTGTAAATATTACAATCATATGTATTTTATTCATATTACATTTCAAGAATAAACAGTTCCTCATTACAAAGAATATACATAGGTACTGGGATAATATCAAGACTGGATCTGTGTAATGTACCAGGAATACTATTTTATTGCAGCATTTGCATGCAAATGCATTCTTATTCTGTAGGATTTGCACAGAGCATTAATAACCCATTTTCTGAGACATTTTTTTTCCATTAAAATATAATGTCCATAAAATTTAACATTATTTATGTTACATAAGAGGAATTGTATAAGTCCATTGCAGGGTGCATTTGAAATGTTGTGGGTTTATTTCTTTTTCCTACAGCAATCAATACACTGTCTTCAGCACTGCTCTCCTCTGCAGATCTGTTAGCAATAAATTCTTTCACACTATTTTCTAATGTTATTATCACTGAAACAGCTCACCTGGTGGCTTTCCACAGTAGGGAAGGACAGTGATTTAACAATATTTTGACTCTGTGAGCGTTGCTAGATTAACCAATGATTAGACTGTCAAGAATCACATCTCACTATTATATCTACACTGTTGTAGTTGAGTTGGTATTATTTAGGGGAAATAAAGCTCTACCCAAAGACATTTTCATCTTTTAATTATGTAATAAAGAAATAAAATATAACAAACAACATTTTTTTCACCACAGTAGCATTTCTTCTATTTAGCAACAAAAGTTAATTTGAGTACTAAATCTCAGAATGGCTTGTAACTCTCAAACTCAACAATAGGTTGAAAAGTACAAAATTCCGCATGACAATCAATTTAAAGGCTGAAAGCAATTTCATAGGACAGTATACTGAGATACAAAGTTAAAAAGAAAACATTTCATCTACTTCAGGATTATGGCAGCAGCTGGCCATGAAGACTCAAGCTTTTAACAGTATTTCAGCCCCTGAAAGCAGCTATTTGAATAGCAGGCACACTTACATAAGGTACAAACTGTTATAGGTTTTTTTTTAGTCTTCAGTTATGGTTTGTTAAAAACATGTCTTAAAACAAAACAAAATATAAAACTCATCGGAGGCGTCTTGTTTTGAAAGATTTCAAGTGCACTAGCAATGAATTGGCATAACCAGATCTAGCACTTTGACCAGGTAACTTACAAGTTCTGCAGACCGATGAAAATAAGAAATTCTGGGAAACTTGTAGGATTGGAAGAAGGGCAATGCCTGCACTGTTTAGAAGGAAAGCCAATCCAATACTGAACTTCTACAGCATCTGGTAGAATCTTACTGAAACCTGACTGTTTACAACCTCTTGGGGTGATGTTATGTTCCTGTGGCACAGCAGAAGCAGCACCAGAATGACACAGGCAGGAAAATCAGTAAGCTTCACTGAGCAGGGGAAGGCAGTGAAAGGCATTATCACAGTACTATCACAAGCCAGGATAACAGGGGCTTAGCACATATGTCACCACTACAGAGTGTTTTCATTATGTGATTCAAATTATAGCACCTAAAAGATTCAGGGTCATAATTCATACTTTATTCTCAATTAAAGAATATTTATTAAATGGATTCTTGACATAAGTTCTCTTGTTTCTGTGGTGCTGCCACAGTTCATCTGTCAGTATTTAAGAATAAATACCAAACATATTTTCAATTCAAACAAAAATAAAAGGTTGTCTCATTTGAACATTTTGCCAAAGTAATTCAGAGTCTTTGCTGGAAAACCTTTGCTTTGCTGGACAATGTTTCATTTTATTCACATGCCCCTATTAACATAATAAGTATGTCTTTCAATACAATTACATCCAGCTGTGTTTTGTGTTGTTTTTCAACTGGGCTACCATAGTTAAAATAGTGAGATGCCTGTCATAGTCCTCGGCTGCAAGACTCCCATTTAGTGTGCAATATATAATTTCCATACTAATACCATAAAGAGTTTTCAAACAGACTTCCTGGAAGAATTGAAGCCTATTATATAAAAGTAAATAGAACGCTTATTTCTTTCAGGACTAATATACTATATGAAAACAGTCCCCCACAGTCACAAACACATAGGAAGCTCTTGTGACCTTGCTGAAATTGTCATTCAGCAAGATCATAACCAGGATAGAATTAAGCCCTTATCTGATATTAAATAAGATGTCTGAAATGCTAACACATATTTAAAGGAATCTGATTTTATTTTCATCCATCAGCTGACACACTCTCAAAGTATAAATGACACTGTTAATATACACAGAATTGCTGAGGTTGGAAAGGATCTCAAGAGATTGTTGAGTCCAACCTCCCTGCTAAGGCAAGATTCCCTATAATGGTTGCACAGGTAGGCATCCAGATGGGTCATGAATATCTCCATAGAAGGAGACTCCACATCCTCTCTGGGCAACCTGTTCCAGTGCTCCATCACCGTTCCTGTAAATAAGTTCTTTTGCATGCTTTTATGGAACACTCTATGTTCACATTTTAGTGTGACATTTTAGTGTCACACTGCTGTTTGTACTATCACTACACACCACCAAGAAGAGCCTGGCCTCATCCGTTTACCTCCCACCTCCCAGTAGATTCCTATAAACACTAATTAGATCCCTCCTCAGTCTTCTAATCCCCAGGCTAACAGACCAATGACAATAAATCCAGTGCTGAATTGAACAGATACAGATAAATATTTAAAAACAAAACAATAAAAGCCAGAACACATATGGAAGATTTATTTATCCATACTTCAGTTATTGAACAATCACATTAGTATGAATCCCTGTCGACACTACTTTACTACTTTCTATTGATACTCTCTAGGAGGCTACATGGTAGGAATCCACTAAGAAACACAGCAGAAGGATGAAGCTTCTCTTGCTTTGCATCCCACGGCTGGTGGAGTGGAAGACTTTATGTGAATCTGACTATAGACAACATTTGAACAAAAACACTCGAGGGTATGTTTAGTTAAAAAATGTACAATTGCTACAGTCATCTTTATATGTAACAAACTCTGTATGATCTACTTGTAATGCTGATAAGTGCAAAATCTTAATTAAAAAACAAAAAAAAGTAAATTGAGATGCTGTCTTTTTTCTTAAAGAGTATGGCAACTTAACTGTAAATCTACTTAACTCTTCTAAACCAGAAGCTTCCTTGTATCTGATACAAATAAACTCACACGTATGTGGGAAAGGATAACTTCATACATTGCAATAGGGTGGGAATTGCCTGCCTGCGTTGCTGCTCTGTAGAAGCTGAGGTAGAAGTTAAGTATAAGTCAGCAGAGTGCCCTTGCAGCCATAGAGGTTAATCACACATCCAGCTGAATTAGCACATCCAGCACAACCAGCAGGCAAAGGAAGGGGTTAACTCTTTTGCTTAGCATCTTGAGAATAATATATCTGGAATCCCAAGACCAGTTTTGGGCCTCGCAGACAACGCAAGATATAAATTCAAAATGGAAAAATCTGGTGAAGGAATAGCAAGATGATCAGGAGGCTGAACATATGACAGACAAAGAGAGGATGCGGGAATCAGACTTATTTATCGTTCAAAAAAGGACAGCTAACTGCTGTCTTCGGATGCCTGAAGGGGGTTTGCAAAGCTGAACTTGTTCCAGACGTGCACCGTAAAAGCACAAGAAGCAACAGTCAGAAATGGCAATAAGGGAAAGTGCTGTCAGCTACAAAGGAAATATTCTTCGTAATAGAAAGAAATTGCTTAGAGGGGCTGCAGAATCTCTATTCTTTGTGATTTCCAAAGCTTGTGTAAACGAGGGCCTGGACCATTTTATTCAACTTAGCACTGCTATGAGCAGAGGTTGAAATCAAGGACCTCCAGAGGTCCCTCTCAGCCCATGTTTTTGTGATATAGGCTATAATCTTTACAAAGAGCAGGGAATGAAATAAAAATAATCCACACTGTGGAACGCTCCAGTGAAAAGTTCATGGCA